TACAACACCTTCCTTAGTTTTCTTGTCTAGGGCGAGTACCTTAATACGCTGACCAGTCATAGGGGGACCATCAGAGAGGAAGACGGGGCCTGTGCCTGTGCCTTGCCCTTCTCCGTAGACCTATCCCGGCTGCGGTGCCTTGGCCGCCTCTGTTATACTGTGATGGAGATCCACCTTTCATTTCCCTTACGCTTGTTTTTGATACCAACCTTCCTTCTCTTCTTCACCCTGCTTCCCATCAAGGCGACTGCCTTCTCCTGTCTTCCACTGAGCAGCTCCTGCCCACTCTCAAGAAGCCCACTGCCTTCAACTTCCAGGAAGCAGTTCTCAAGCAGTTTTCTTGGCTTCTAAGGTTTCTCAAAGTCAATTTCAAATTGTCATTCTCAAACAAAAAAAAAGTGTTTTTGAGTACCATTTTTGAGGCCAGCACTGTTCTAAAAGCTGTGGGGAGTTTTTAAGTGAAGATTCTAATCTAATCTCTGCTCTCAGAGTTCATAATTCTAGTTCAGGAGACAAGGTGCAAATACAAAAAACAAAGGGGAAAATAATATAGGTGAAAACTGAGGTCTGATAGCAACCAGGAAGTTCTGTTTGTCATGGCTGTTGCTTCCAGATGGGGCCATGAGATTTCTCTCCGCCATCGTTAGCTTTCCTGTTGGTTTTAGGTTCCTGTTATATTCTTTGTCTGAAGGATCCAGTTAAGTGAAGAGGCACTTTTCTTGGTTTAGTTCACATTATCATGCTTCTGTTTCCAAGTGCCATTAATCTCCCTGTTTATTTCTTCTTTTGTTATTTAATGGGATTCTGTGACTGGAGGATTCCATTTTGAAGAAAGATCTGCCACAAAAGAAGTTAGCTGCGTGGTGCCCGGGCACTGATATTTGCCAAGCAGGGGGTTTCCAGCTTCTCTCCATATTATATACTACAAGGGTGAATTGTGCCTGAAAAATGCAGTGATTTTGTTTTGCCATTGTCCTCCACTGAAAAATCCAGCTTAAGAATCGACTGACATGCTCTAGTTCAATGAAGGGCAAACATCCTGTTAACATGCCATCGTCATGTTTCTGTTGTTGCAGACCTGCAGCACATCTCTCCGCAGACTGGGAAACAGAGCTGAGAGATGCCAGCAATTACCTGTGCAGGTGGCGAAGAGCACAAGGAAGAAGGGGCCGAAAGCCCTTCTATTAAGTGATGGGGACTTAGGCACCATCCATCATCCTCTCCTATAACTCTAATCAACTCCTGCACTCTGGGGCAGCTGAGGGGAATCAAAAGGATCCTGGGCCACTAAAAGCCCCAATATTTGGGCTTAGAATCTACATGCTCAGTTAGCCTATGGCTCATGTGTGGGGGAAATTCGTCCTAAGCTTCTCTTTCATGGACTTTGCTAATATAATGTCTCAGCGCTAGAACCATTGCGGCAGAGTTACTGGATGTGAGAACTAGGGAATAAATGGGAGGGCAGGCACTGGGCCCTGGCTGCTGAGGGCTATTAGAAAGGCAAGCCTTTCTCAGGGGTCTGGTAGAAGAAGAGTCAGGACACAGTGATTTAATGCCCTCCTGGGTAGAACCCCTCTGAAGCACGCCTGGATTCCTAGGACTGGCCAGTCCTCTCATTGGATGGAGCACCTGGTGCTCCCGATCACTAGAAGGAATGGAAGCAAATGTGCACAGGGGATCAGGGTCACTGCAGGTTGTTTCCTAAAGTTCAGGGCAGCTTGTGGAGCCTTATTTTGATGTCTGCTGTAGGAGTCCTGGTTGATGTTATTTGTTTTCATATACATTTTCTCTTAGTCTGCCTTAAGCAGTTATGAGCATGTAATACCTAATAATTGAGTACTCTCCATGAATGCAAAGAACAGCTCCAATCCTGAGAAAGGTGGAGGTCCTAGAGTACAGCTCCCAGTACCAAATATTCCTTTAATGATTGTGATTACAGTAACATTAAACAGATGTAGATATTTTTAAAAATGTGGGCTGGTCTCCTGACTTTTCATTTGATTTAAAAAGACTGATTACTGCTGGGAAAACCTCTTTTCAGTGGAAAGCTTTGTGCGAGTTTCATTAATTCCCTTGATCTGTGGTCACAGGGAAGATGGGACTGCCAGTATAACCAGCCCATCCTTTGAGATTTAGACAGATTTAAAACCAGGGCACATTTACCACATGGGTTGTCAGAACACTACTGTACTAGAGCTAAGTGAGCTCTGCATTTGAAGGCTGTGAAAGGCCACGGTGTCTTCAGCTCTGCCATCCCCCCGGTCCTCCTGCTCCCCAGCTGGAAACAGACCTAAACTCAAGGGTACAAGCCAGAACCAGGTATCATGCCAATTCCAGAATAAGAAAGATGAAGCGTTACGTTCTTCCTAAGCCAGTGGTTCTTAAACTTGACGTGTAAAAGAATTACTTGGTAATTGGTTTAACCTGCAGAGTTTTGGGGATCCCACCTCAGAGGTTCTGGTTCTCAAGGTTCCTGGACACTGTCTAGCTAGTGGTTTTCCAACCTGGTTATGGGTTGGATTCTGAACAAATGGATGCTCAGGTTCTACCTAATTAAATCAGAATATGTGGGGAGACAGGCCTAGGCATTGGGAGCTTTTACAAGCCTCATAGGTCATTTTAACATGAACCCAGGGTTATGAGGCACCAAAGACTATGAAGACTCAAGTCTGGACATGGCTGAGGGCTCTTTGGAAGTGGTTTTTGGAGGAGGCAGCTGTTATCCAGCTTGACGTGCTAATCTTCAGACGGGCACGGTACCCTGCTCCAACATGTCCAGCTGACTAAACCAAAAATACATGACCCACAACATGGGTAAGTATTAGAAGGTTTGTGAAATCCCTCAGGCATATGCTAACATTTGTGTGATGTGCACGCGTTCATTTTTCCAGAAAGAGAGTCTCAGCTTTCACTAGATAACTTTAGTTCCTCCCCCACCTCTTGTTTCATTCATTTATTCATTCTTTTCCCCAGATCCTGCTCCCATTCTCCTCCCCAACAGAGGTAACTAGTCTCGTATTTAAAGTATGCTAAAGGATGTCCTTTTGCTTGGCTATTTTTGTTGTTCTGTGTACATTTACTTGTAACTTACATAATCTGTGTGTTCTTACACAGTGCTATCCTTGTGGGCATGTTGCTCCTGACTCCATGGAAGGCTTCCCCAGTATCTTAGCTCTCTGCTTCCCCAGTGACGGACACCAAGACCATTTCCAACTCACCTTAGCCACAAACATCCTCACATTATGTCCCCTTCTGAAGCCACATGAGAACTTCTCGGGAAATACGCCCGAAAGTGGGACTCCTGGGTGATGGTGGTGGGCGTGGGTGTGTGCATACATTTCTTTGGACTAAGCAGGGCTGCACTGCGCTGCAGGACGTTGGCTCCTGGTTACGCTCCTGTCACCTTCCCTGGATTCCTAACATGATGGAAGACACCCTCCAACACCCCCACCAGAGTGTGAAGCTGCTCGTTAGTGGTCTAAACTGGGCCCCATGCTGCCTGCCTTTCCTTTTTCTTTTCCAGCTTGACCTTCTTTCCTTGGGCAGCTGTATTAAACCCCTGCCACCATCCTCAGGTCTCTTATTCTACCTCAGTTTTCACAGAGAAAACAGAGGTCATCTTTAAGTGCCCCCCCCCCCCCACTTACAAATGTATCAACGTCAGCCCCCCCTTGCTTTGTTTTCCTTTCAGGCCTCCTTCCAGGCTCACCTGCCCCCAAGCTGGGGTCCCTCCTGGCTGTCTCCCTGGAGCCTCACTGTGTCTTCCCGAGCTCCTCTCTCTTGCCACTGGCTTGCTTCTGTGGCCTACAGTGCTGGCCAGTTCTCTCTGATCCAGACACAGACCTCCCTTCTCCTTAGGCTGCCTCCCTTTCTTCTTTTTTAAAATGTTTTTCATCTACCACACACTCTTGAACACATTGTTCTCTCTCTGCATTTGCTCCGTTCCCTCCCTCGCTCCTTCACTCCAGCCCGTGGTCTAGCTGCCAATTCCATGTGCACTTCCTGGCTCCCCTGCTTATTTCCCCGCGGCTTCCGACGCCAATGACAGCATGCTTCTTGGAGCTGTCTTCACTCTCAGCTCCTAGGACAGTCCTTTCTCCTGCCTCTCCTCCACTTCTCTCTGCTTCTTCCCAGTCTCCCTCATGGCTTCCTTTCCCCTTCCCTTTTCTTTTGAAGCTTTTTGTTAAGAGTCTACCCTCCAGGCCCTTGCCCTTTCACATGCTCTCCCAAGAGCTCACCCACTCCTTAATGCTTCCTTCAAGCAGTTGTAAGCATATAACCTCAAACTTGGATCTCATTGTAATCCAACAGGTAGTTTTTGAAAATTTACCGTGTGCTAAGATCCAGAATCACATGATATATAAGATTTCACAGTCTAGAACTCTCTGTTCTAAACTCTAGACCCATACATCCAGCAGTCTTTCTGTCTGCTACAGTCTGAGGATATGTGTCTAATTCACACTTTAGCTGAAACAAATGATATGCCTCTAAGTTTTTTATAAAGGGTCCAGAAGCCAGCATGATGACATGTCAGCAGATGCTGCCTGCTTGGCTTCCATCCTGGACGACCCACCAATGGCCTCTGGGTCCCAAGATGTGCATATGCGTGATTCCTTTTACTGACACCCAGAGCAGCTGGAGGGCCTAGAGTCCTGAGACTTTAGTTTGGTCTATAGGGTCTTCTCCTCACCTTTGGCAGAGAAAAGTACCAATACAGTGACAGGCTGATGAGAACTCATGTACAGATGTGACACTGTCCACAGTTAGTGCCGCCGGTGCCAGCCCTGTCCTGACATGGCTTACCCCAACAGGTGATGGGGTTCACACACATTGAAGAGAATTGTACCAGGCTGGACGTAATCCAGTGTGAAACTGGATACACACCACGCCTTCCTTTTAGAAGTAAGGTTGGGCAGATTAGGGAGGATCAGAGTAGTGTGTTTCCTGTAGGCTGGCCTGGCTAGGCCTTGGAGGACCAGCTGCTTCTGAGCCAGCCTTACCTCTGTTTCAGGATCTGCTTGTTGTCCTCGATGGTAACGCTGTCAGCGTGGTCTCTCCTGAAGATTTCAAAAGCCTCCTGACGTCCTAATGACATTTCCTCTCTCATCCCTGTTTGGAGACACAGGCGAACGGTCTTAGTCAAAGCATCAGGATCCCATTAATTTCACTGTCACTTTGGTCAGACCACAGAGCCAGTCCTGGCTCCGAGAGGCCCACAGCAGGCAGGTGGCCCCGGGCTTTTCCAGCTGGCCACCAACCCCCTGAGGAGGCCCTTCCAGGGACACCCTCTGCACGCTGCCGGGCTGTGCCTGCGCATGCATGGGACTTGTGGGGGTGGAGTTTGGAATGTCTGGTCAGAGGAAATGAAAAACAGAGCGCCAAGCCCTGGACTGCCGAGCACATCTGTAAATGCACTTTCTGCCATCATTCAGTGCCACATTTCTCCCTGTTTTCCTGTTATGCCCCATTTTGGTTTTCTACTAAATTTCACCCTGGATTTCCAGGCACTTAGTTAAAAGGAGTATAATCCACACTGAAAGATTAAGAATCTAGAAAGTTCTGTTCTTAGTCTCTATATAATGACCTGTGTCCTGTGGCAAACAAGGGGCCTCAGTTGTTAGTTAGGTTCTCAGGTGCAAGACTCGCGAGCAGGCTGTGGTGGAGGTCCCCCGGTTCAGGTCCAACTTCAACATCTTGTGTCACTAGTGCCCCTAGAGGACAGCCCTCACCACTGGGCCCTGCTCAGGGGCCAAATGCTGAAACCCAGGGTCAGAATGGCCAGTGCCCTCAGGCAGGTGGCAGCCCCTTGCACGCATCCTCTCCTCACATCTTCCCAGGGTGAAGGTCATTGCAGGCGTGTGCCTGGGAACCCCTAGGTGAAAGCGGAATGTGTAGCTGGACTTTGGACAAATACACGGATTTATTTTTTAATGCCTCTTTTTAAAGTGTTGATCCCTTTCTGCATGTTTTCCTCCAGTTAACTCTACTAATTTTTGAAAGCCTGGTTGAGTGCTACCACTTCCATGAAGCTTTCCCAGAGGCCAGGGAGAATAAATCCTCCCTCCACCATGGACTCGGCAAAGCGTCTGTAACCTACACAGCCCAGTGGACACTGTTACTTCACACAACAACATTTTCTGGAGAAATGCAAGTTTCCGGCAGTTGGGGTTATGTTTTTTGTGAATCCCTAATGTCTTGTTCAATGTCTGGCATTTAGAAGGTGTTCACATATGTCTGTTAAATGAATCAGGTCAGGAATAAATCAAGAATGATGATGAGTCTTGCTCTTATTGCCATGGGAATATGGTCCAGGGCTAGAGAGGTTTGAAATGAGTCCTAGGGTTCTGGAGATGCATTCATATGGACCACATACCGCATCTCCTCTTGCCTGGAAAAAACCCACTGAGTCCCATCACCCAGCCTCGGGGGTGAGGAATTAGACCAGCCCATCTGACACCAATTTAATGATCACTGTTGATAAAAATAGCACCATGAAGAATGTCTGAATGGTGAGGCACACAAAGACACTCCACCCTTTTCCAATCAGAAGCAAATGGGCACGTCCCAGCTCTGTCTCCACATCTGCCCTGCACACTCCAGAAGTGGGTGGGCCTGGAAGCGGGTTTGTGCGAGACTCAAAAAGACGAGCCCTGATATGTGAGTGACATTAGCCAGGGGGCGTTTTTCATCCCGCAGAGCCCGCCAGGAACAAGGACTCACCCCACGCCTCTCTCCTGCCCATGGCCTGCGCAGTTCTAACAGTGTATGCCTTGCACGGTATAAAAAAGGAGTGACAGAAGGTAGAGTGACCAGGTGTCTGTGGCAGAGAGAAGCTGCACACAGATCATGTGGGAGCCTGCCTATGGGATCCCCAAGCTGCCTCCCACAGAGGAGGTGATGTGAAGGCTTCCAGCAACCAGCAGCGGCAGGGGTTGGAGTCCGAGAGTGGGGGCTGGTGGAGAGTTGTTCAAAAAGCTGCAGTGAAGGGGAAGCCATGGCCTTTTCTCTCCCAGGCTCTGCTTTCTTTTACGACTGACAGTCTGCATTGATAGCTATGTGGACAGGCTGTGTTGAGGTTTTTCAGTGCCCATGGTACTGTTGCAGCAACCAGCTGAAAACCCTACTGGGTCTTCCCTGAGGTGTGGAGGGGGCCTGGCCAGTGGCAGCAGAAAGGGCATGGGGTGCACAGAGGAGACGAGCCTAGGAAGGTACTTTGGGATCATTTTGCAGAGACTCTTGAAGGTCTTGCTGAAAAATCTGGGGACAGCACCATATTATATATGAATCACTACTTTTCAAAGACTTAGAATTCAGTAAAGTACACAATATGGGAAAGTTTTGCTGGAAGTATTTAATTTAAAAGGCACTGTAGTGCTAGGAGCTTGTCATCATCAGGAACATGCTATCAGTTTTCTTCCTGCAACAATGGAGAAAGAATTCTGGAATTAGAGTTCTTTGATGATGTTGATCTCAGGTGAATGGACATCACTGGGATGGGTATAAAACTGGCAGCTAACATCTGAAATGTCTGCTCGGGGGAGGCCAAGGTGAGGTGGCTGATGATGACCACAGTCTGAAGGCAAAGAGGCCAAGAAAGGACTTGGAAGCCTACTGAGACTCTATGGCTGGCATATGGAGGGTGAGGCTGAGGGTCCACAGAAAAGGCATACGGACAAGCTCCCAGAGGCAGCTGTAGTGCGTGACCACACTGCTTGGTTCCATCCTGGCCCTACCCTCGCCCATCCCCATCCTGCTTGTTTAGAGCCCACATCCAGCTCCTTTTGAATTGTACTAATTAATATATCAGTTCGCACTCCTCCAATGTGAGGCCGCCGACAAATTCATGAACACTTTCTCATTTACTGAAGAGATGCCTCACGTCCTTTCCCCCCTCAGGATGTAGAGAGCAGCTTTCTCACACGGCGAGCCCCTGCCCCTCAGCACACAACACGCGCATTACAAAGAGCAAGAGCAATGGAACACAAGAGAGACTGAAAGCTAACCTTGCTAAGGAAATATCATCTTTTATTTTTCTCTCAAAAAGTATTTATTTATCTTAGGTACTGTGCTAGGCATGTGACAGAGATATAAACTTGAACTAGAAGATGAAAGCTTTGATTCTTGCCCTTAATGAGTTTGACGTCTAGTAAGGGAGAAAGCAAAGTGAATAATTACATGGGAAGCTGCTGCCTGCTGTAAGGGAGGCTTGCGTCCAGTGCTGGCAAAGAGGAAAGGAGGAAGGGTCAGCTCTGTCAGCGAGAGTGGGAAAGATCCTGAAGGATGAAGCAGCTTGTGCCGGGTGGAGAAGAAGTGGGAGAAGACCCCAGGTGGAGAGGGCGGAGGGCGAGTGCGGATTACAAGGGCAGCTCGCACAGTTCTGCCACCCTACTGGAATGACCTTTGGGGTGACTAAAATGAATTTCTTCCATGTTCTGTGTTAATCACTGTACCAAGTGCTTTCTTACCTATTATTTCAACTAAAGTTCTCCATGATCCCTAGGCAAATGTCATCTCAAATTTGACGAGGCAAATTTCAGATGAGGAACCTGAGGCTCAGTTAAAGAAATGGTTTAAGGGGTAAAAATTGGCCAGCTTTTACAGGAAGTCAGTTCCTGCTTTTACATCAGTTTTTCCAGAAAGGTATGCCTGATAGAGGGGCAGGTGGTGGGCGTCCAAACAGCGTGACAGTAGTATATTTACCCATGAGATTGTACTCATATTAGTGCCTATCTTGTCCAAAACTTGGAGTTTTTTTACAGTAGCATAGAAAAAAATAGAACCATGAATTTTGCTTACTACTTGCATAGTTTACTTCACATATTCATATGTTCTATTATTCTAGAATTTGTAAGTGCCAATGAGGGCAAGGATTTTTGTCAGCTTTGCTTGCTGCGGTATTTCTTGCACCTGGATAGAACCTGGGACATAAGAGGAACTCAATCAGATGTCTTTTGAATGAATGAATGAATGAATGAATGAATGTTTTAGATGCTTAACGATTTCCTTGTGGTATAGAGTACTGTGATGCAATGAGGAAGGTTCATCCTCGGCATGGTGTGATTTCAGAAACTCAACACTATCTTCTCACCACTACATGTCACCGTGCTTCACAGTCCACCATGAGGAATGAGTTGCAACTCCAAGAAGCTTTTACAAAAATGTAAATATTCTTGAAGGCATCACAATGGGTAGTTAAGAAAAACATGATTTGTTGACAGTCAGCTAATAGGTCCTGCAAAGATGAGACATAAGATGGTGTCTCAGGCTAGTGACAGACTCAGGGAAATCTGAACTTGAAAGGGAAGGCAGGATGGCAAAAGAGATAAATTGTGCCTTTTTTCCAACTTTGCTCAGTTGTTGACTCAGCTGCTCATCAGGTGTAGGATCAGAATTTCTGACTTGTCAGTGCACATTTCTAGCTCTCAGTTGTTTCCTGTCAGTGAATTTCAATCAGAGGTCCTGGGGTTGAATCCCAGAAAATATGGATGACTCAGAGAAGCCTGCTTGGCTTGCTGAGTCAAATAGTTTTTAAAACGTAAAGGAGAGCAAATAAAATATCACAGGGCAGTATTTGTTTGAAGTTTCAAACAGAACAAAACAAAAAACAAAAAACAAAGAGTCTCCCAAAGGACCCTAAAGGAGAAGAGTTTCTCCGTCTCAGTCCCCAAAACACAACACTGTAATTCCAGGTGGTGAGATGGGTGGAAAGGAAACATTCCCAAGTCCTAGAGGTGCAACCTCTTCAGGGCCTGGACACCTACAGAAGAGCACTTAGGTAGAAATGGCCGTCGACACAGGACTCTCAGAATCAGCCTTGGAGTTGGGTTGCTGCAAATGTTAGGCACCCATAGTTCTTAGGCACTGGTCCCTCACCCACTTCTTAATGCTCTCTTTTTTGCTATCCTGAAATTTGGTTCCTTATTTTGCTAAAGAATACACATCAGTACTTTTGGGAGCTGGCTCTGCCCCCTGCCTTCCAAGGGTCCCATGGAAACCAAATGGAAAGGGACAACACTGGAAGTGGAGAGTTTATGCTACTGCCTTTGGGCCTGTGGGCTGATTTCTTTCAGTCTGGGACACATGGGCCAGGGCTCATTTTCCTGGCTGCT